GTAAAACAAATATTGCAAATTACAAAGTCTTAATGAAAATGATCATAATTTAAAAAAATTAATTATGCTAAAATAAGTTTAATAAGTATTAGTTACATTACTAAATATTTTAAGGAAAATTAAAATTAGATTATGTATTTTAATTGTCTAAACCAATGTTAAAAATTTAAAAGAACAAATATTAAATATTATTGTCATTCTTAGTGTTGAATTGTATTTTCTTTTTGCATTAGTATTAATTTGATTTTGATTTAAGTTTTATTATAATTATCAACATTTATGAACTATAATTTTTATTGGACTATTCCGAATTCTATGTTTTAAACTTGAAATAATATATTAAAAGATAAAAGCTATGAAATAGTATAAGAAATATTTTAAAATTATATCAAAGTAAATATTTTTATGTATAAAATAAAATTTTAAAATTACATATATAATGTCGGGTTGATTTGGTTTTTGATTAGTTTATTTTAGTTAAAACCAAACCAATCCAAATATAGTCGATTTTTTTTTCCAATACCAAACCAAGTCAAACAAAATCACTAGTCGAGTTTTTTTTTCGGTTTGCGGTTTGGTTCGATTTTCGGTTCGGTTTTGTACACCCCTACTCCTAGTAACTAATCTCAGAAAAATGTTGTCCTGGTGCATTTTTAAAGGATCCAACACAAGTGTGGAAGCATTTTGGAGAGTCCGAATTGCCACAATATTTTCTAGCTTTTTTTCTTATTAAAGACGTGATTTTTCTAGTAGATGATGCTCAAAAATGTCAAAAAAGAATATTATGAAAGAAGCCTAGACTATTATCATCATGATCATCAGTTGTCACTCATGAAAATTAGATTCACCATCAGTTGAGATTTCAAGGGGAGCAAGAACATTCTGGTGATTGAAAATGACTTTATCTCATAATGTTAACATTCTGAAACTGTCTGCTAGAATCAATGCGAGAAAATCAGGAAAATAGTGTTTTGAGAAGGACATGCAATTTTAATAACTTGACAGCACCAAGTTATGTACAACTAACCAAAAGCATCCATGTTTGGCTTTGCAGGGTACCAAGGACAAACATCATAAACCCGAGTTAACAAAGTTCTGAATGTTAACTCGGTTGCACGAATCAGCTTTTGAAGGTAATCTTGAACGAATAAAACCTTGATGATAATCACTGCTTGTCTTCCTCCATATCATCAGAATCTTCATCAGGATTATCCTCCTCCATATCATCAGAATCTTCATCTTCATCAGGATTATCCTCCTCCATATCATCAGAATCTTCATAATAATCACTGTAACTGTCTTGATCATAATCAGAATCTTGAAAATAATCACTGCAACTTTCTTCCTCATCATCAGAATATTGATGATCCTCACCGTAACTGTCTTCCTCATTATCATCAGAATCTTGATCAGATTTATCCTTAGGATTTACCACAGAGGATACATCTACATGCCTACAATTGAAATCATGAAAATCATGTGAAAACTCCAAATAATGAAGATACGGAGAAAAAATTTCAAAGGGACTATTACATCATCCTCCATCCAATAACCTTCCAATTTCAGGGTTTTTACTTTTAAAGAACTAATTTCCAGGCAACGAAAACCCCCAACCTTGTGAAACAAAATAGTTTCCAAAGCAGGACAGTAAGTTCACAATTCCCTAGTCATATTCTCCAAAGTTATGCTCTTCAGAGACTTCCACGCTATGACAATGATAGAAACCAAAGAACTTTCTACTAGATGTAATGTTCTCAACGTCAAACAGGTGAAGAAAGATTCAGGAAATACACAAAGAGGATCAGAATAGACTATAACATGTTCCATACAAAAACACTAGGTGATTCTTTCCATCTGTCCTAGCCTTGGTAGTTAGATTTACCTGGTACCTGTTTCTGGTGAGAGGTGATAGGTATCCGTGGAATTAGTCGAGGTGCGTGGAACTTGACCCGGACACCACGGTCATTAAAAAAAATGTTCGACTTTATTTTAACAGCAAAACTAAACCAATCCCTTTTTCTTCTTTCCCTAAGGTAGCTTTTCTAGTTGGTGACGCTCAAAAGAACAGATCACATAAACAACGTTTTGAAAGAAACCTGGATTATTGTCATTAGGATCATCAGTTGTCACTCACAAAAAACAAGATTCACTATATTGGCCATAGTATATCAATTTTGTCAACAAAGTAGGTCAAAGAAAAGACAGGATTTAGAGGACAACACAATAGAACTTCCATCCGTTGGTAATGAAGAAAAAGAGAGATATAAGAAAGGTTGTGATAGCAGAAATGTAAATCCAAAAACTTCCAAGTCAGCAAGTCGTATGCCAAGTGACTAACAAATGATAAAGTTATAACCTCAATCAGCAGGAAAAAAATGAGATTTCAAGGGAGGTGGGGGGAACTGTCTGGTGGTGATGGAAATGACTTGCTCTGAATTTTCTAGCGGACGCATTAACGGAAGGATAAAACCTAAACTTCATCTAAAAAGATTCAACAGCACTGTAAGCCTCAATTACAGACTGTTAAAATTATTTGTGGTAAACAAACAATGCAGACTTCTTTCTTCCAAGTAAAGAACCAAAGAGGGAACCATTTCGCAATCAGGTTTGATGCTATTGCCAAAGCAAGGAAGCAAAAGACAACATTTAATGAGGGAAATTATCATAAAAATGTGGTTTGTAGATTTACTCATCATAATGTATTCAGGAAAACAAAGTGTTACATCTTGAAAGAAACTAGCAATGCACAAGCAAAACATCTAAAATGCAACAAACAAAAATTTCATGAGAAACCAAGCTACTATACCATTTGATATACCATAACAGTAAGTTTCAAAAGAACAATAATTTATAACATGAGAAGTTTAAGGTTTGGGATTGCATGAAGTTGATCAAAAACTTAACACAAGGGAAAATTCATGTATCCTGAGACAAAAATACTTGTAGTCTAGTTATAGAAAGCTCACTGTTGGAAGATAATCACAGAATCAGCAGAGGATCCCAGTTTATTAGCCAATCGCGATAAAAATCGAGGCATACACTTGATTCCACATATCTCACACCTTTGTCTATTTGATACGATAACGAACTTCTCCAAAACCACTGTATTCTTTAGCAAAAAGTTTGAAAGTTTGAAAAGCTTCTTGGTATGCTCCTTCAGGCACACCCCAGAGAAGATGACAATCTTAACATTCTTTAGGTTGGAAAACACAAAGCTTGAAATATATCTCTGCAAACCAATACTATCACCTTTGACCAAATATTTTCTCTCAAAAGAGCACCTGGAATCATCAAACTGGAGACGAAGAATATAACCAGGACTAAATACAAGCCAGCCTAATGGAAACTGAACTAATGTGACAAAAATGATTTCACAGTATGTCTGGTATAGACAAATTTCAAAACCAACAGATATTAGTGGTGCTTGGAAAAGATTATGATGGTCATGCGTATCATAAATATTTGTGGCATAGTGTGATAGTGTAACAACCCCTTTCATTTCAGAGCCCATTTACCACAAAGAAAGCAGTAAAGTGTAGCGTCACAATTACAAAAGCGGAGCTTCTTAGTGATAATTTAGGATATATTGAGTTCTCATTCAAAAACAACTTGTGGGGAATGGGGACAGAGATGTTAAAACTTCATTAAATGAAAAGATGTAAAAAGAAAAGAAAAAGTTCCAGAAAGTTACAGGCTGATTTTCTATTGATATGTTCAGTGTCTCCACAAGACTCGAGGCTCGCAAAAGGCCAGCTGCCCTATACAAACTAAACTTTTCCAAATGCAACTCTAGCGCTAGATATTTGCATTCCAATTCTGGAATTGGCACCTCTTTGAACTGCAATATGCATAGGACCTGGTGCAGTAAATCCAATGAAACTATTAAACAATGGAAAAAGCAATAAAGAAAGCACTTCACAAAAAAGAGATAGTGTTGTAACAAATCTAACAAAAGTTCTAGTTTCGGTTAGTGAAATTTATGCATTTTACATTCTGAAACTGTCTGCTAAAATTCAATCCGAGAAAACAAGGACTGTAATTTTTTTTGAGAAAGATCATGTAATTTTAATAACTTGACACCAAGTTATGTACAATTAAGCAAAAGTATCCCTGTTTGGCTATGCAGGGCACTAACGACAAACATCACCAACCTGACTGAACAAAGTTCCAAATGTTAACTCGGTTGCATAACGTAGCTTTTGAAGGTAATCTTGGACGATGGTCTTAAAATCTTCATGATAGTCCCTGCAACTGTCTTCATCCTCTTCATCAGAATCTAGATAATCATCCTCAAAATCTTTAATACATGTAACGTCGAAAGTTATCTTAGCATTAACCACAGAGGATACATCCACAAGACAACACATGAAATCATGAAAATCGCGCGACAGCTCCAAATGCTGCAGATACGGGGCACAAATTTCAAATGAGTGACCACTATCATTTTCCCAATAACCTTCCAATTTCAGGGTTTTTACCTTTAATGAATTAATTTCTAGGCGACGAAAACCCCCAACACTATTAAATACTATAGTTTCCAATGCAGGACAGCCTGAGAGTAAGTTATTAATTTCGGCATCCAGTACCACCATATCCTCCAATTTTATAGTGTTTAGAGACTTCCAGGCTATAACAATATCAGAAACCAATGAACATTTCGCAATATGTAATGTTATCAAAGATGAACAAGTGAAGAAAGTTCGAGGCATTATGTAAGGAGGATGAGAATAGATTACAACATGTTGCACATTTTTCTTAACAGCAAAAGTAAGCCATCGACTGATTTGAGACTTGTGCTTATACAGGCTACCGCAGTGAAGCTCAAACTTGTCAATTTTGGAAGCAGTGGAATGAGACAATACGTAGTCAACAAATGATCGGAATCCTATGCTTCTTTCCCAATAGCGCTTAGGAGAGAAAATGAAGGAATTAAGTGAAGTCCAGAGATACTGCCACCTTTTAGAGAGAATACATGTTGTGAATGCTTCCTCCGTCGGCAAAAGGGACAGAATTTGAAGCAGAAGTGAGTCCGGCAACTGACTGATACGATCGTCTAGGGTTTCTCCCGCCATGATTTTGTGTTTTCTGTTTCTAAACTCCCGCTTCGGTAGTATAATATATTTGACTGACTAAAGAAAACAGCCCTGTAAATCGGTTGAAAACCGAATCGAAATTGATAATTCTAAAGAAAAAAGGTTATTGATTTATGATAATAGGCTATTTGCTTAGCAATTTTGATAACGGTTGTAATGTGTTTTTTTTTATCAAATTATTAGTTCTTAACAATTTGAAGTTATTTTTTAGTGGGTTCATTGATAACGTGATAGTAAATTAAATATTTTTTTTGGCCTGATGGCCATTTTATTAATAATAATTTTGAAAACATCAGTCTGGTCAAAGGGCCCAATAATAAAAACCATTCCCGCCCAAGTCCATCCATACCAAATCCTTCTTCCTTAATTAGGAAAGTGAACCTAACATCTTCCGCCTCTTGCGATCTTTCCATTTTCATCTTTGTCTCCCAGGTGCTCCCTTTCGAATGTCGCTTGTGCTTTACTCGTCTTCGTCTTTTCCTCTGGGTATGTATACATCTTGTATCTCTCCATTTATGTGCTTCCTTGCTCTTATTGAAGCATGCCTTACTGATGGGTAGTTCTTCTTCCTTCATTACTGATTGACTCTTCTCTTGATCCTGATCAGGATGTAAATTGACGTTCCTCGTATCGTGGAGTGCGTAGTGGTCGCCATCCAGACGCAACTCAGTTCCAGGTTGTTTCTTGTCCTCTGCTCTTTTTTCCTTTTCTTTTTTTATGTTCTGACTCCTCCTTCTTTTGTGTCAGCTGATATTGTGTTGCATATTCATATCTGTTTGGATCCTGCGTTGACTCTTATTGATGATGTTGTACCCCTGTTCTTTTGGCGAAAACTTTTTTGTGCTGATATAGATTAGCAAAAAAGTTAATTTGATAGTTGTAAGGATCCCTTTCTGAGGGTTTTCTTTTTCGTAAATAGCTTTTTTGCTCTCCATCCTTGTTTGTCTATATGTCTAATCATGGATCTTCATGGTGTCTAATCTTCTTATTCCTTATTCTGATGGATGGAGTCTGTGTTTTGTCCATATTTACGATGCGTTTGCATGCTGTTGGTAGATCTATAAAGCTATTGAACTCTTGTTTCTCTGTCCGATTAATAGCTAGGTTAGCTAAATAATCTGCTATTTGATTGTCTTCCCTGAAAATATGTTTGATTTTAACCTTCTGTGTTCGCACCTCCTCTATTATATCTTTCACTATTTTTCCACTATTTCTGCGATTTCCCAAGGTATCCTCCAATCCCTTTGTATGATGTTCTTTAGAGTAAGGGAATTCGTCTTAATTATGAGATTTTGAAAGCCCATCCTAGAACTGATTTTTAGCGCTTCTTGGATTGCTCTTGCCTCTGCTTCTATATTTTTAGCAATTCCTATTCCTTTAGCTTGAGCATAAATAATATCTCTATTGTTGTCTCTGAAACACAAACCAATAACACTCTCTCATGGATTACCTTTGCTAGCTCCATCAGTATTACATTTCAGTTGATCACTCCTTGGTGGATTCCACTGAACAATATGGTAGTATATTTTAGGCTTGTAATTTCCTAATATATTAACCGTCTCCAACCAGTTCTTCCCAAACAAGTTGAGACCTGCGTTTCTTCCCGATGTTAGCATCTGGATGTTTTTGGTCACTTGTTTCACCATTCCCTCCAAGTTGAGTTGTCCTCCATGCTTAATATGATTTCGCCTCTTCCATAAGCTCCATAGTATCAACGCTGGTATTGCCCTAAAAACAAGCCTGAGTTTGCTAGGAGCTTCAACATACCACCAGCATTGTATAATCTACATGAGATTTTTGCCTGCTATATCTACACCTGCACATGAAGCAAAATACCTCCATAGCTTTTGGGCTATAGAAGCTGTTAGAAATAAGTGGGACATTGTCTCTATTTGTTGTGTTTCACAACACCAACATCTAGAGACAATGTTAATTCTCATCCTCCTCAAATTATCATCAGTTGCAATCCTTCCTTTCCATGCTCTCCATAGGAAAAAATTAATCTTAAAAGGCAACTATTTCCTTCAGATGAACGTATACTTTTCTTCCTTTGCTTTTTTTTTCCTCATTAACTCCCATGCTGATTTCACAGAAAACCTCCCATTCGCATTGTTCGTCCACCATGGTGTGTCCTGCTCTCCTTTACTGATTACTGGTGAGATATTGTTTATAATATGCTCAGTCATCTCCTCCGATACATAAAGTAGGAACTTTTCCTTATCCCACTGGTCTCCAATAATGAAGCTTCTGACCTCAGTCTCCTCTTCCCCTATCTTGTCCTCTTCCACATAATATAGAACCCCTTGTTTTGTCCAATTGTCAAACCAGAAACTCACCACTCCTGATTTGATTTGCCACCAGATGTTATATTCGACCTCTTCTCTAATTTTAATCATTTTCCTCCAAACATGTGACCCTCCGTTCCCTTGGGCCATAACAGGGTGCAACTTTTTGCAGTACTTGTTCCAAATGAACTCACTCCATAAGGAGTTGGTGGATGTTCTGAATATCCACCAAAGCTTGGCAAATAACGCATCTGCAACATCATGTAGGGTATAAAATTAAATATATTTATACCATTTGGTATAAAAATTCCTTGACTTGGGTGTGTTTGGTATGGAGGAAAATATTTTTAACTTGTTTTTCCCAAGTATTTTTGGAGTCAAATGGGTCCTTAGACTTTAGTTTTATATTTCTATTTCTGACTATCTCAAATTCTTGGTTATTTACAATGTGACCATGTTTGTTTTTGGAAAAAGATGCAATATGTCAACTCATGTGCATGATTTATTTGGTTTGTTATCTTGTTTCTAAGTTATTTTCAATTTTTTGTGTCAATTTAATGGTTAAACTGATAACCGAACCGATAATGATCAATAACCGATAAGTCAATATCTTAATGGTTCTATAATAGTTTTACATGTATACAAATCGATAACTGATAAACTTCAAATCAAACCAAAGGATACGTAGTCCCTACTCTATATAGTACTAGAGGAAATGGCCCGTGACACGAGACCAATATTATTAAAAATTGAAATTATTAATATATTTTGGTTAAAACAACAAATTTCAAGATAAATATGTATATTTATTTTTTATTCAAATAAAAATAAATAACTATTAATGTCCTAATTAAAGTCTAAACTCTTAATTATTTAAGAAATATAGCAAGAGGAAGATATTAGATAAATATATATATATATTCACTTTTTATTCAAATAAAAATAAATAACTATTAATGTCCTAATTAAAGTCTAAACTCTAAATTATTTAAGGATTATATCAAGAGGAAGATATTTTTCAACTTTATCATCGAGAAACAACTCAATTTCTTATATTTTTCATTTAATTTTATATGGTATTATTTTTCATTTTTAAAAAAAGTCATTATATATGTTTTAAAATAATTTAACTTTTTAATTTCAAAATAATAATAATTTAACTTTAAAGATTTTATTTTATCATAGTTATGAACCCAAATATGTTAATACATAACTTTTTTCTTTCAAGTAAAATCTTCTAACAAATCAACATTCAATCAAACTATATCATATAAATTTAAAATGTATATCAACATTCGATCAAACTATATCATATAAATTTAAATTAAAAAAATATTTTTAATCAAATTATACCGCATAAAGAAAGAAGTATATTTTTAATTAAATACACCACATAAATCAAAATGAAAGGAGTATATTTTTTTATTTTTTTTTGTGCTCTTGCTCTTTCTTTTCGTAATGTCGTCTTAATCATTAAAAAAAAACTATTTTTAATGAAGAAAAATATGAATATATATAAGTATGTGTTATCGTGCTCTGAAAAGGCAAATTGCTTATATTGTTTTCCGTAAAGCAAAATGATTAACTTTTTCTTTTGAACTAAATAGTCAAAAGATAAGAATTATCGTCGTCATTAACATTTAATCCACAACCCAATTATAATTCAATTGTTTTACGAAACAATTATAATTCAAACAAACAATCAGTTGCTTCCTCTAACACAAAACTTCAAATTATATATCTTCTAACCCAAAACTAATATAAAACTAATCAAAATCACAAGATCCTATTATTTTGTTGCTTCTAAAACAATCTCATTGAAAAAATGCTCAGCAAAAATTACAAACTGAATTTGATTATCAATAGTTTAAATTTAAATTTTAGATATTCTAAAACTATATGAAAGATACTATAAGTTGTAACTATTCTCATATTAATTTAATATAATAAGAAAATACATCTTCAAATATTAATTAAATTTTTTATATTTTAGCTTTTAAAAATAAAACGACAAATAAAAATGAATGGAGAAATATTCAATAATAACTTTTAAAAATAAAATATGACAAATAAAAATAAATAGAGAAATACTCAATAATAACTCAATTGATAAACATGAATCTTGAACTATTAAAATAAAGAATGTTGTTAATAAAAAAATATAGTATATATGTTTCTGACGGCTACCAGGAGGATTATTATGCAATTCTGGATATTAACTGCAAGGGGCAATGATCAAATTGCCCTTAAGCTTTCCTAAATATGGTAAAAAAACAGCCATATTGAAAGATGAAAACTCTCCCTTCTATATAATAGAAAAATAGTATTTGCCTTCAATTAATTAAGGTGTACACTTAGTAGCTGTTTGTCTATGTTTCATTTGAAAATTCAAAAAAATATATGTTTTCTTAGTGAAAATTACGGAAAGTTCAACTCCAAAATAACAAAAAAAATCATGATCAAACACCACCTTTAAGTTCACTTCAGCTAACACACCTCATATACTAATGAGTTTTTGTTTTCATACACCTATTCTTCCTCTTTTGGCGTCTAACACTACCACCAAACACAGGGTCATTTGATAGAGTGTATAAGAATAACAGTAAACAGATAGAGTATATTAGTAATATTGAGAGTATTTCTTATATATTATTTGATTTGGTGTATTAGGAATTGTTTTATTTTTAGTCATGATTATTCATGTAATTAGTCTTGTACTGCTAAGACCCATCTCCAACCCAACACTATTTTAGTGTGTGAATAGTATCACATTAAATTTGGTGTAAATACCAAATAGTGTTGACACCATTTTAGTGTAAAATTTGGTGTTATGAATTGGGAATGCCCTAATACCATGATTGCTATTTATTAATTATACACCCTATAATACTGAAAAAAGTGTTATATAAGTTGAAAATCCTACCAAACAAAGCATTGAATAATACCTTGACTAATACATGTATTAGATTTTCTAATACATTTTACTAAACGATCCCTTAGTTGATAAGAGTTGTGCAAGTATTAATAGGAATTAACTATGCATGTATTAGCAATTCCACCTTCTATGTTGCACAAAATAATACATATATTTTTTCATACCTAATACATGTATTAGTTATGCAGATTTTGTAAATTGCAAAAAAAAAAAAACACCGTATTAATTTATACATGAATAACTTACCTCCTACCCAAGTATCAAACACAATAATAGATTTAGTACTGACATAACTCACTCCAACACAACTACAAACAAGCGACCCCTAACAATTTCAGCATCTAAGCTAGTTTGAATGTTATATTCACTATTCAGTATTTTACTCATCAGAAAGAAAGTTGGAATAACTTGATGAGTGGTAGATTTTCACTCATTTGTGGCCTTTTTAGTTCAACAATTAGTGTTCTCAATGCCTATTTATATCATATTCTGATGATATTTTGATATTTTGCAGCTATGAATGCTAAAGGACAAGGCAAGGATAAATATATGAAAAAAGGCCAAAAATATTGAAAGAAGTACAAACTCTCAACTCGTAGTCGCCTAACCAAAAGGGTGGATGACCCAATTGGCCAGACCTCGTCCAAGTTGACAGTGTTTATAATTGTAAATATTCAAGGCATGTCGAGGAACTAAAATTGAAATGGCAATTCG